TCTTGTTGCAGCCTGCAGGCAGGCGGTGTAATTAAGAGAGAGTAATTAGTTATGCAGGCATGTTGTAATTAGTCTCTAACCCTAGCTTTGAGTTTCTCTCCATTTCATTTCTTACACCAAGATTTGTTGCAGGGTGCCATTTTTGGTCTGATTAACCTTCTTCTACTCATCATCGCAGTTCCTTTAGTCGGATCATCATCTTCTCTGCAGGTCACCTCCTTAAATTTCACATCTTTTAAAGTTCTGTTTAATTTTTTTTCCCGCATCAAAAGTTTCTGCAGGAGAAATGTTTTTTGTTGTTGTTGTTGTTATTATTGTTGTTTTGCAAGCTATAATAATATTTACCATGAATTGTTGTACCAGGTTGGAGAAACGTGCTCTGCTTTGAGCAAATGCGATGGAGGCTTGACCTGCTCCACTTGCCCTGCAAATGGAAATACCCGTAGCAGATGCGTTCGCACTCAGCCCATCAGCCCTTTCTCTAAGGTTGCCTTTTTATTTTTCCTTTCAGTTTTTGTCTATTGTGAATTTCTTCGTTTTTTGAAGATGGGATTTGGACAACTTATCTGTTTCTCGGTATTAATACTAGGGTTCATTGGCTCCATTTGATCCTAAAGGCGTGTTTAGTTAGAATCAGGTTTAGCTAAGAGTTTAGGACTTTAGGTATCAAAGAGTAAAATCGATCGTTTGGTTTGTGTTGGGGAATAAAATTAGGGCTTGGTTCTACATTATGGAGGCATGATCAATTTTAGCTGAAACTTCAATCATTTTCTTCCTATTTTTTCACCAACAGTCTTCTGAAGTCCCCCGGTTTGACATGTAATGATTGAAGAGACAACAACCTGGGAATTGAATGAGTTCAATCTAGAGGGATGAGGGGGTTTAGGGAATGAGTTTGAAGGGATTTATAGAATAAGTTGGGTGTAATTTTTTGTAACCCACTATGAGTTATGGATTTGAGATTTGCAACACATATATTCATTCCCGAGTGAACCAAACGAGCCAAAACACATGTAGAATTTGATAAGAGCACAGTCCAAACATTTATAAATTTGGTTTGTATAAATCTTTATAATTTATCACTATGTGTTTGGCTTGAAAAGGTGAAAGGGTTGCCATTCAACAAGTATTCATGGCTCACAACTCATAATTCGTATGCTCTGGAAGGGTCTACTTCAGCAACCGGGTCTGCTATTCTTTCTCCAACCAATCAAGAAGACAGTGTCACTGCTCAACTCAAGGTCGATCTTTTATTTACATTTAATTTAGTTCACAATTTCACAAATAGCATCTTAAAAAAAAATTAATATAGCATCTAATTTTAATTTAATATCTTTAGTTGGATTTCATGAGACACGCATTTGACGATCAATAACTTTTTTCATATAACATCCCCCCTACCGTGAATAGTGGAATAGTTGGTGACTATTTATGTGCTGAGCAGCATCCAAATAAATAGCTTAACTAATTGATAAATAAATGGTATGAAGCATTTGAGTCTGTAAGCATTTCAATTTTGAAGAGAAACACAGCCAAACTAAAGTTGGTTTAAATTTTATTCCATTTGTAGAATGGGGTTCGAGGACTTATGCTTGATATGTATGACTTCAACAGTGACATCTGGTTGTGCCACTCAACTGGTGGGAAATGCTACAACTTTACAGCTTTTGTAAGTCATGCGTTAACGGTCTTCTTTTAGTAACATCGGCCCTGATTGGCATTGCTTATCAACAAGCAATAAGCTAACCAACAAGCATTAAATTGACGCTTGCTCAAACCGGCATTTGGAGAAGCATAAGTACAAAGTTGTGAGTGGAGATCCAATAAGCTGGAATTCCTAATAGGCAAAAATGAGATGTTGAAGCAATTAGAAACAAGCTCTTTCCAAACAAAATGCCAAACAGGGCCATTATTTCATTTAGCAAAGCATTTCTCTTCCCGCTTTTGTTTTCACTTTTTTTTGTTGTTGAAAATATAACAAAATATATCTCATTCCAGCAACCTGCGATTAACGTGCTGAAGGAAATCAAAACATTTCTTGATCAAAACTCTGAAGTTGTCACTATCTTCATCGAGGACTACGTGAAATCTAAAAACGGCTTGACAAACGTTTTTAACAGTTCTGGGCTTAGCAAGTACATGTTTCCAGTGTCTCAAATGCCCAAAAACGGGGAGGATTGGCCTTCAGTGGATGACATGGTGGCTAAGAAACAACAGTTGGTGGTCTTCACGTCTGATAAATCTAAGGAGAGCTCTGAGGGGATTGCTTATGAGTGGAGATATGTAGTGGAAAACCAATGTGAGTTTCTTTTCATCTTTCCATCATTAACAGTTCCTAATGTGCTGATTGAACACCCTTCAATTTGATCATTCCAGATGGAGATGGTGGAATGGTAGCTGGTTCATGTCCAAGTCGGTCAGAATCCTCTCCTATGAACGATGCAAAGAGATCATTAGTTCTGCAGAATTATTTTCCAACCAATCCAAATGACACAAACTCATGTGTTGATAATTCTGCTGGACTACTCAGTATGACCGATACCTGTTATAAAGCAGCTGGTCGGCGTTGGCCAAATTTTATTGCAGTCGATTTTTACAGTGTAGGTGGAAATGCTTGCTCTGCAATTCTGCATTTTTTGTAACTTATCTAAATGTTGGTAAGGATAAAAGATTTTTTGGGTGAAAATGTACTGTTTTACCCTCTCTTTTTTTGGTTCACTTTCACAGAGGAGTGATAGTGGCGGTGCACCGGAAGCTGTGGATCGAGCAAACGGTCAGTTGGCTTGCAACTGTTCCAGCATTGCATATTGCAAGGTGTGTTAGTACTTAGCATGCCCACTTTTAACCAACTACTATATACTCCGTACCTAGTGGGGTCTCGGGACCCCATGGGACCCTTAGTGGGTCTGCCTCAGATGTTGGGGTCCCAGGACCCCTTAGGACTGGGGTCCCATGACCCCATAGGACCCTTAGTGGGTCTGCCTCTGATGTTGGGGTCCCAGGACTGGGGTCCCATGACCCCGTAGGACCCTTAGTGGGTCCGCCTTTGATGATGAGTGTTATGTTGTTTGCCAAACTTCCTCAGAGTCCAGGTTTTTTTGGATCCTAGCATTTCAATTGGCATAATGCCTTTTTTTGCTATTTGATCAGAAAAGGGATGTTTGGATCCTACCATTTTGAATAGCATAATGCCATTTTTTTTGCTTTTATGGCATATCTGGCTGCTCAAAATGTCATCTGGGGTGTTGTTTGGTAAACCGACATTTTTTATCATCATTAAACTGTGCAAAATGCTGATCTGAATGTGCTAGTAGTAGGATCAACATTTTGTTTTTTAATATTTTAGTTTTATTTTTTAGCATTCCGCTAACTTACCAAACATTTTATACAAATCCTTAATTGATAATCAAACCTGCTAACACAAACAGCTAGCTATCACCATCTGCTCACTACTGTTTGCCAATTCACCCCCTTTTGTATTCCTGCATTCTAATTCTGGCACACATAAGATAATTCTTTTCCGGTTTTGTCCCTGCGGCACTTACCTTTATGATCTCATCATCTGTCAATAGAAAAGCGGTTCGTCCACAACATGTGAAGCACCCAAGCTCTCGCCGCCGCCACCAGCCGCTTTACCACCAACCGATTCAACATTACCAGATATCAGCAGAACTAATGATTCTTCAGCTGGCAGACCTCTCCAGCAGCTTCACTGGTTGATGGTTATGAAGCTTTTAACCATATCATTCTTACTTTGGTTGGTGTGAACTGCATTGGGAAATTTACACTTTTTTTAAAATACCCATGTTGAGTTTCTTCAAGGCAGAAAGTTGGCTAATTGCTTTGCAGTATTCACTTGTTAGTCTCATTGCCAATTTTTCATGTTCTAAACTCTGAACTCGGTGTGAATTATAGTTCCACTACTATCTACTAATGTATGTCTGTAATATACTCATTTTTTTTCAACAAAAAAAAGTACTCTGAATATAATCTCTCCGTTTGAATTTACTTTTGCATGTTAATTATTCATACCATCAAATTTTAGTCATTTTTTGTCTACGGGCTTCAAATGTATGTTTTACGAGAAGGCAAAAAGAGATCCAGGCCAAATATATTTTGCTTTAGTTTTTTTATTAATGTATGTTTTTTAATTAGGTGTTCTTTTTTATTTAATGTAATATTTTTATTTCATGAGTTATTGTCTTTTAAATTTAATTAATTAATGAAATTTATTAATTTAAGTTTACAAAATGTGTGTTAAAATTTTTAAAAATAAAGGCTTGAAGCCTCAGAGCTTCAAACCTATTTCAAGTGAAACTGTCAAGCAAGTTAAAAGTAATAAGGAAGAGAGGAATTTTCAAAATTTTCAAAGCCTCGTGGCCGGTCTTGTTTGTTTGGTACACGAAACTCAAATTGTGGAATTGAAATTGAGGATAACAATTCTAATTCTACTATTTGATATCACAAAAATATGTGAATTTGAAATTGATAGTGCCAAAAAAGAATTGAAACATGAGAATTCAATTCCATTAACTTAATTCTATTGAATTTCAATTATCAATTCTATTCTAATCCCATCAATTTCGTGTACTAAACAAACTCTTAATATAAACTTAATTTAAATTGAGTAAAGCACTCAATCACTCATGTATACTACTCCTAATTTGTAGATGCAATTAGCACAAACCAATTTTTTTACTCCGTATTATACAAGAGAAATTTACCTGAATAGGACTAAAACATAATGACTTTTCCAATATAGGATCATATGTTTTTATTTCCCAATGTAGAGCCTTTGGTCATTATCAAGTAGTCATTATTCAAGTAAATGTCCATATGTCCATAATTACTGGACATTATTCCTCCCACTAGGTCATTATTAAGTCCTATTTAAGGAATAAAAAAGTTTAAGTCCTACATTAAGAAAGTCATTATGTTTTAGTCCTATTTAGTGCAAATTTCACATTATACAACCAGGTAGGATGAAGGAATGATTGAGATTGGACGCCGAGGCTAGGGCTTTACGTTTGGCGCGAAAATTGATCTTCCCGCCCATTTATATGTGGCATCAAATTCCCCAGTTCTGTTCCACAGATCTTGATACTGAGCTCCGGCAGTCGTGACCTGGGTGAGTGAAAGGGATACAATACAGAGGAGGAGAGAGAATGTCGGACGAGCCTTCATCTGTCGCCGGAAGGCGGAGGAGCCGAGGGAGAATTGTGCAAGAGAGGACAAACGCGCTGGAGCGTCTCAAAGCCATCAAGAGCGGCGAGCGCTGCTCCCGAGATGCTGCCCAGATCAAGATGGAGGATCCGATCTATGACTTAGTCGACGAGGATGAGTACGGCGCCCTAGTTGCCAAGCGGTGCGAAGAGTCTCGAGGGTTTATCGTAGATGACAATGGCATGGGTTACGGAGACGAAGGTCAGGAAGAGGATTGGTCCGTTGCCGGGCTCCCTCAATCTTCGGATGATTCAGAAGGTGAGGCCGGAAGGCAGAAGAAGAAGAAGAAGACATCTGAGAAGAAGCCGCAACCTGCTGCTAAAAAGCAACAGGCAGCAGGGCCTTCAACTGCTGCATCCCTAGCGGACAGGCAGCAGCTTTTGAATATGTTGAATTCTTCAAATTATAAGAGAAGTAGTGGCGTATCCTTGAAGAATTTGTCATGTGACAGTATAGTAGATGATGTAATAGCTGAATTTGCTCCTGACGAAACAGATAGGGAAAGAAGGAGAAGAGGAAGCTCTAATTTATCGCTGAAGTCAGTAACTTCAGCTCAAGTTAATACAAAGTATGTGTCCGCAAAAAGCGAGAGGCCGATCAAAGAGAATGTTAATTTGATTGTGAATGAAGAAACTGGGAATGATGATCCTTGTGAATCTATGATGCATGTTCCACCTGACAGCCATTTGAGTGATAAGAAGGATCTACCTGAGAAAATTGAGAGTGGAAGCTCTTTGGATGCTGAGGTGAAGGAGAAGGGAGCGGTAGAGTTAAGTGATAATGCAAATTTGGATGCTGAGATGAAGGAGAAGGGAGTAGTAGTGTTAAGTGATAATGCAAAGAAAGGGATTGATAATGACGGGAATTCGTTAAGTGGATCTAATTTGAAGGAGGCTCCAGTGACAGAGGATAAGGTATTTTCACTCAATGCCAAAATTAAAACAGAAAATAATTCGGCCTTGAGTGCAACTGCAGAGTGGCAAACAATGAGGAGTTCTGGAAAGTCCTCTGCCTCAAATCTTACTAATGCTGAAGAAAACTCAGACTTGGAGTTGGAGTCTGATGGATCATTTCCTTTCTTCATAATTGATGCCTACGAGGAGCTTTATGGAGCCAATTCAGGCAATATCTATCTATTTGGGAAGGTATGTTTAAGTTTTTTTTGGTTCGATTTCCGTTGGTTTTAATTTATTCTTAGATACGGAGCACATAAGCTCTGTGGCAATTTTCTTGAGAACCATGTTCACTTTTGTTGTGGTTTCCACTCCCGAACAATTGAAGACTATATTAATTTGTAATGAAACAGTATATGTTAAACAAATATATTATCTTGCCAATGATATCTGATCTCTGCATTGTTACAATTCAGGTCAAAGTTAAAGGGACGTATCATAGCTGCTGTGTGGTTCTAACGAGTATGCAGAGATGTGTCTATGCTATCCCAAATAGAACTGTATTCCAAAAAGATGCAATTTTGAAGCTAGAGATGGATCTTAAAGAGTCTCAGATTTCTGCTGCTGCTTTCCATAGCCGGCTGCATGTAATTACATCAAAGGACACATCTTTCATTGTTTATTCTCATATTCTCTTTGTTGTTAATGTTGTCATTTGTTTTTCTCACTGTTAGGAGATGGCATCTGACCTGAAAACTGAGTTGACAAAAAAATTGGTGGAGCATAATGTCTCAAGATTTAGCATGAATCCTGTTAAGGTTTTGAGGATCTGATATGTCTTATATCCTCCTCTTCTTTAATGTTGTTTTCTTGGCTATTCACTCTGTCTACTACATCGCAGCGAAATTATGCATTTGAAAGACGTGATATCCCGCTTGGTGAGAATTATGTCCTTAAGATTAGCTATCCATTTAAGGTAAATATGCTTGTATCCACCAACTCGGAACATTGATTGTCATGACCTTCATATATGGATGTGCATAACCTTGCACTTTTTTATTCCAGGATCCACCACTTCCACCAGACCTCAAGGGAGAACATTTTTGCGCTTTACTTGGCACCCATAGCAGGTATTTGTTTTGTACAATATGCTGATGATTGAAAATTTCTCTGGAAGAAACTCTATTTCTTTTATGTCCTTGCAGCCCTGCACTAAAATTCAATCTTTGGCCCCCTATGTAATGTATTTTAGAAAATTTATACTCTTGAAATTCTATAACAAAATTGTCAGTTTGGGATTTTGGGTGTCTATTTGCTCCCGGGTAAGGAATGAATGCCTACATCCAATTAGTGCTCTATATATGTGTCTACTCAAATGTGCTGCTTTAGATTTTCTACACATTCAAATTGACTTGAATCTATTTGCATTATTTGCAGTGCACTTGAGCTCTTCCTTGTGAAGAGAAAAATCAAGGGGCCCTCCTGGTTATCAATTTCAAAGTCTGCAAGCTGTCCAACCAAGGTTATTATATGAAGTACCTTACTGCTGGAATACTGACAGTACGTACCATTCCGGTCCAAAACCGGTATGGACAAATGTCCAGTATTGTATCGATTAAATTTCGGTCTGAATGGCTACTGACTGAAATTCTGATACTGCTAAATAATTTTAATTCTTTTTTATCCCCATTTTAACTTTAAATATTAATAATTTTCATTGAAAACATATAATCTTGTGTTTACTTCTTTGCACCACATACACAATGTTTTTTTGAAGGAAACATACAAAATGTTTAGTTCAGGGGTTTCTTAAGGAAAAGAAAATAAAATAGTTTTCTTTCATTTTCTTCACCAAGATGGGAGGAATTTTGTTTTCCCTCTTATTACATTTTGCATTCTCATTTTCTTTTCCTTCCACATTTCTTTTCTTTTCCTCTCTAACCAAACAAGAAAAATTATTTATAATCTCATTTTCTTTTCTTTTCCCTTTCAAAATCCTTGTTAAGGCATTTGACAACTTTGATTTTATATAATGCATTAGAAGTTTGTTGGCACATATAACCCAATTAGTGGGGTTTTTTTTTTTAAAAATACTCTGCATAATGTTATTCTCGTTTGATGTATTATTTATCATGAAAATTTGCCTATTGTGTGTTTTTACTGTAATTGTAATATTTTCAAGTATTAAAAATTTAAACTTTAAATAATTGCGACAAAATTTTATCATATTTTAAAGCCCGGGTATGAAAAATTTGTTATGGGTACAGTACATACCAATTCAGTTCAAACACCCGGTACTGGAGCTTGTATTGTACTTATAACTTTGTGTCCAACACCTCTATTGCGAGGCTTGAGATGCCTATCCTCCATTTATGTCATTGCATTGTACAGTGGTTTACATGGGCTGTCTTAGTAAATATTTGTTTTGCTTTCTGCACAGATAAGCTGGTGTAAATTTGAGGTCACTGTGGATAATCCAAAGGACATTCATGTCTTGAAAAAAAACATTCCAGCAATTCCTCCTCTGGTTGTAACAGCAATAAATGTGAAAACCATTATCAATGAAAAACAAAATGTCAATGAAATTGTCTCTGCATCTGTCGTCACCTGTCATAAAGTGAAGGTATACTCTCTTTTGCTTGTTATGTGAGTCTTCTAATAATGATGTATCAAATTAGCTACTTGAATTTTAAATGATGTATCAAATTACTCTACTTGAATTTTACCTTTGCTCCACTAGTTGCGTTTTTATAGTACTGATAGTACTCACTACTCAGGTATAACCTCTTATGCTAACTGAAAACACCTTGAAGGCAACTGAATGCTTATGCCACATCTCTTTCAGATTGATGCACCAACTTTAACCTCTGAATTGACAAAAATGGGGATGCTTTCACATTTTACTGTTGTGCGAAAGCTTGATGGAGGCATATATCCGTTGGGGTTCGCAAAGGAAGCAGCGGATAGAAATGCAAAAGCTGGTTCCAAAGTTATTAGTCTTGAAGTCAGGCAAGTCCGGTCCCTAATCATATCAGTTGAGAAACGCTATATCTTGCGTCTCTACTTCCATATTCTTTCTAGCCTTTTCTTCTTCCATAATTTAAGTTCTTAAACATGCATTCTCTTTGAAATACCAGCGAAAGAGCTTTGTTGAACTGTTTGATGACTGAGTTACACAAATTGGATAGCGATGTGCTTGTTGGGCACAATATATCTGGGTTTGATCTGGATGTTCTGCTTCATAGAGTTCAGGTTTGTGCATTCCTAATATGATCAAATTTTACCGCATTGATTATTGGTATGAATAGAGAATATCTACCACAAGAAATATTGTACTCCCTCCATCCCATTAAAAGGTTCAGCATTTCCTTTTTTGTTTGTCGCACAATAAGGTTTCACATTCCTTTGAAGGAAATATTTCTGTAGCTCATACTATTTCTATTTTCTCTGCATTAATTTCAACTATACAATTCACCTTTATTTAATAACTGTGCTGGTTCCATTATGGAACCTTTTTGTGGGATGGATGGATTATTTTAGTGTTCAATATTTTCCTTCTTACTCACTGGAAAATCGTATATAGATAAGATCCTGTTACAACATCCTACTCCAGGTCTTTTGCGATTCCTGAGGCCATTGGTATGTTTCGCTATCGTCTGCCACCCATTATCTCATGAACAAGCGGATGCAATAGTTGACTTCTTTTTACCTTTGGCTATTTGTAGTGGGTTCTGGAAGGGAACATGTCCTTTACTTCTTTTGTCCTAGGATGTTCTGAATTTCTTTAACGTGCAGGCACCCAATGTCCAAAACAAAATGTGGTCTAAAATCGGCCGACTTAAGCGCTCTGTTATGCCTAAGCTTACTAAAGGAAATAACATATTTGGTTCTGGGGCAAGTCTTGGGATAATGTCTTGTATTGCTGGGCGTCTCCTGTGTGATACGTATTTATGTTCTCGTGATTTATTACAACAGGTAGAAACTAAAATAATTTTTTACATCACCACATATGGATTTATATTTCTATTATACAGAGTATAATGTAACTATTGCATTATACCTGCTTTCAGGTTAGCTATTCATTGACACAACTCACAAAGACAGTGCTCCATAAAGACCGCAAGGAAATGTCTCCACATGATATTCCCCAAATGTTTCAGGCTTCCGACTCGCTTATGAAACTAGTGAGTTCTCATTTCTCTTTGATACACGTGGTTGTCTATCTGAGTCAGCATTAGTGATTATGTATGAAAAGTGAGCCCAAATGGATCATCATTTGATTGTATAATTTGGATGCCGACTCTTGATGCTCCACCCATTACTTGAGGCCCTTTAGAGCGTAAACAAATTGGATGCTGTTAAATTTGAAAGTTTGATATACTATAAAAAGAAGGGGGTTTATTGAGGCACTTGAGTAGTTATCCAGTAGCATACCACAAGGTCTGACTTCTGAGTGATGTTTACTATTCAGAATGTTAGATTTTCTCATACTGCATTGGATACATCTCTCATCACTCTGCTGAGAGCTTCATTATCTGACAATTTAATTTGATTTTGCAGATTGAATATGGGGAAACAGATGCATGGCTGTCCATGGAACTCATGTTTCATTTGAGTGTTCTTCCACTCACCCTTCAGCTGACTAATATTAGCGGTAATCTTTGGTGTAAAACCCTCCAGGTGAATCATTTTATTACACTTTCTGTTTGTATTAGAACAACCATGTGAATATTATAGTAAATAAATTAATATTTATAAATTTCAGGGTGCAAGGGCCCAAAGAGTGGAGTATTTATTATTGCATGAATTCCACAGTAAGAAATTTATCGTGCCAGATAAGATTTCGTCTAAAACAATGGAGTCAAAATTGACAAAGCGTAAACAAAACAGCAGAGGTGGAAAAGAAACTGATGAAATCAACCTTGAGGACCCCAGTTTTGGAAATGACCTTTCTGAAATCGAGTCTGGAAAAACAAAAAAGGGGCCTGCCTATTCTGGAGGTCTAGTTTTGGAGCCAAAAAGAGGGTTATATGACAAGTACATTTTGTTGTTGGACTTCAACAGTCTCTACCCATCTATAATTCAGGTAACCTACATAAACAATTTGCATAAAACGTCAAAACCTTTCATTTCTTCATTTAATCCCTAATCTCTTTTCTTCTAAAAACATAATTACTGCTGAATTTCCACCCCCTCTTTACAAGGTGTTGTAAGAAACTCACCCTCTTTCAGGAATACAATATTTGTTTCACCACTGTTGAAAGATCTCAGGATGATTTGTTTCCTTCTTTACCATCTAGTAAAGACACTGGAGTTCTGCCAAAGGTAAAGCACATGCTTCTATTGGTATTATTACTTGAGAAATGGGGATTTGAAAATGAAGAATAAGATATGAAAGTACGGTGTTGAAGATGCCCGCTCGATATCAATTAATTACTTTGGTAGAGTCTGATAATGCAATGTGCTAATGCATGCGTACTGTAAGTGCCAGTCATGCAGTACTGGAAACTCTAAGCATCTGTGCTAGCATCAACTTAATGCTGTTTTGGGTTTTGCTCTAAACACATGTTTCAAGATTGTCAAATGTTGGTGCCCCTAAAGAAATATGTCAGGACTCTAGTTATAAACTGATTTTTGCTTGTATTCTGTCATCTCTTGTTACATGTATAGCCCATGGCTTACATAGTGTAGGATATCCACTCTGTCCACTCTCCTGACCTCACAAAAACATGTTCTACTTCATTTTGAGTGTGATGCTGACTTTCTCCTGCTTTTATTATTTGGAGTGTTTTAACTTTTAGTACTCTACATGCATTGTAGTTGCTAGAATTCTTGGTTAATAGAAGAAAAGAGGCAAAGAAGTCTCTAAAATCAGCATCTGGTCTTCAGGCACGGCGGTTTGACATACAACAACAAGCACTCAAATTGACGGCAAACAGGTATTTTTCGGTCATTTTTGCACTTCCATCGTGTCTATTCTCATTGCGGAATACTAGAGAATTAAGCCCTAGTGCTCGGTGAAGAGATAATCTGCCATGGGAGCAGAAGCAAGAATAAAAGAGCATATGGATTAAAATTTTAAGAGAAAGGATATTGTGTTATAAATGAGGAATAACTCTACTATATATAGGAGTGTAAAGCCTAATCTAATCCACCAATTAAGGAGACAAACTCCTTAAAATTAAAGAGACACTTAATAATTAGGCTCAATAACCCACCAACACTAATGACTTAACAATTCACTATTCTATTTTCTAACATTCCAGCATTTATTTGATGGAACTGCCATAATATATCAGTTATTTTCGGTATGATTTGAGAACTGGATTATCAAATAAGCTGAACTGCCTTCTAGTTCTAGTAATTAACATGTATTGTTTACTAAAAAAGCGTGTATAGCCATGCATTTCTGTAAACTGAATCGTTTCTTTTCAGCTAAACTTTCCTTTCAAGTTTGAGGTCAAAATGTCCAAGTATAATATCATAATCCTAGCAAAATGCGTGCCCAGCTAATCCAATCCATAATTTTCTCAACTAACTTTTTGCTGGTTACTGCTCATTTGACTTGCATTAGTTCTCTAATTTGAATCATTTCTGATGCAGCATGTATGGTTGCCTTGGATTCCAAAATTCTAGATTTTATGCTAAGCCTCTTGCAGAGCTTATAACTCAACAGGCAAGAAATAATTCCATGGACAGAATTATATCTTGCAGTACTTAGATTGTTCCCATCTTTGAGGTTGATTCACCCTGTTTTTTCGTGAAGGGAAGAGAACTGTTGCAGAGTACAGTTGACCTTGTTCAGAATACACTAAACTTAGAGGTAATATTTATAGATTTTTGGTCTTTCTTTCCTTTTTTTTTGTATAAATTCTATTAGCATTATTCCAGGAATGCCATTTCTACATTTTCTTTTTCAAATGTGTCAGGTTATTTATGGTGATACTGATTCGATCATGATTTATAGTGGGGTTGATGATATTTCAAAAGCAACATCAATAGCAAGAAAAGTTATTGATCAGGCATGTTCGGTTTTGGTCATTAGTTTTTTTAAGTTGAGTTCATCTCCTTGGTAATGTTTGGGGGTTTCCTTTAAATCTGCCATGAACCTTTGTATACCGTGTTGGTAACTCTTCTTTTATAGGTTAACAAGAAATATAAATGTTTGGAAATTGATCTTGATGGGCTTTACAAAAGAATGCTGCTACTCAAGAAAAAGAAATATGCTGCAGTAAAAGTTCAATTTAAGGATGGGAAATTTTATGAGGTAGTGTGATACTCTTTTATTAAGATTAAATTATTCGGTTTCTTGTTGGAATTTCTAACCACCTGCTTGCTATAATGTTGCTATACCACCCAGGACATTGAAAAGAAAGGTCTTGATATGGTTCGTCGTGACTGGAGCTTGATATCAAAGGAATTGGGAGATTTCTGCCTTAGTCAAATTCTATCTGGAGGGTACAAATCTTAGTAAACTAAAGAGATTAGCTTTCTTTCAGTTGTAATTGTAACACATAATGATCAAGCTGTTTATTGCTTGCAGATCTTGTGAGGATGTTGTTCAATCAATTCATAATGCTTTAATAAAGGTAAAGGTACTGTTCTATGCTTAAAACAACAACCTACCCACGAAAGTCCTACAAGTGGGGCTTGGAGGGAGAATTGGGGTGTTGGGGGGGGGGTGTACACAGACCTTACCCTTACCTATACAGTTAGAGAGACTAAAATGAAATATCAACATAACCAATTGGTGGTTCTTTAAGTTGCAATTAAGATAATGCTGAGCCTCAAATTTACTTGATCTAAGGAGGTATTTGATATTCATTCCTTTTTTTTCAGAAACAAGAGTATTCAGAAATAAGAATAAAAGTTTCATGAAAGCGATTCTTTTTGAAGTGTTGGAAACTTCTCGGTTCTATGAAATAGAGAATCATCGTGTAGTGGCGGTCTGGGAGACATGTTCTAAACGGATTTTTTAAACAACAACAAGAACCCAGTATGATCCCACGGAAGTAGCGTCTGGGGAGGGTGTGTGTACGCAGACCTTACCCCTACTCGGAAATAGAGAGGCTTTTCCAAGAGACCCCCAGCTAAAAAACTGATTCTTTTTAAAAATAACCAAAAATATATTGGTATGTATCTAATGTTTGTTTTCTTTTATTTACTCACAATTTTTATTTTGAAATGATTGTGTCAAATATGGTATTTGATTGATGTCTTTTTTGGAACAACGAAACCAGTTTGGAGAAGTCTACCCCCCTCCCTTTCCAAAACTGATTCTCACACCCTGGAAAGTGATTCTCTAATACCATTGAAACATCCAAAAATGGTTTTGATTCTGATTCCTCCATGGGGGAGCAAAATCAGCTCCAAGCAACCCTAAACCTTCTTTCCAACAGTCTAAAGAGATAAGTTTGAATGTGGCAATGATGAGTGAATATGTTCCCTCCTTTTCCTCATCTTATTTTCCCTTTAACTATCTTCTAGGTCACTTAACCGAATTTCAGTATTGCAAAGGCCTGATTTTTAAATCTAATTATAAATACTAAATGTAATTGATCAATCCGGCACTTCTTTGATGTCAGGTTCAGGAGGATATGAGGAATGGACAAGTAGATCTGGAGAAGTATATAATAACCAAATCATTAACTAAACCACCTGAAGCCTATCCTGATTCAAAGAGTCAACCTCATGTTGAAGTAAGTCTATGTCTGAAAGCTGGCATGATTTTATCATCTAGAAATTAGTCGAATCAACTCAATTATTTATGCTTCATGTCCGTTTTCTCTTCAAGGTTTTTCTCACAGTTAATATTATTATTGTTATTGTTATTATTATTATGAATATTATTATTATTATTATTATTATTATTATTATTATTACATTTTTGCATTGTATGCAGGTTGCTCTTAGGTTGAAGAAAAGTGGTTACATTACTGGCTGCTCTGCTGGTGATACTGTGCCCTATATCATCTGCTGTGAGCAGGTTTCCTATGCCTTACTGCACTTACTCTTTTCTACATTGCTCTTTTCAATGTCATTTACTACAGTGAACACAAATATCTAATTTTGTCTTCTGCTTCGTGTCAATAGGGAAACTCTACGGTTAGCTCTGTGGGGATTGCTCAGCGGGCAAGGCACCCTGATGAACTGAAGAATGGAAATGGAAAATGGACAATTGACATTGATTATTACCTTGCACAGCAGGTCTTTTGCTCTATACTGAATTAGACATTCAACCTGGTTTCTATTTACTGAATTTATTGATAATATTCCACCTCTGGTCTCATGATTATGATTTATGAGGTAATTTTTCTTTTGGTTGTCAACTATTTTTCTCACATTTGATGAACGCCTTTACATTTTTTTGTTACATTTGGTCCCAACGATCACTTATTGGAGTTACCGGCCAATTCATGTACTCCGTCCCATATAAGATTGCAATTTTGGTTTTACGAGGTAAAACCTCGTCTTTTGAGATCAACAACAACAACAACAACAACCCAGTTGAATCCCACAACAGTAGGGTCTGGGGAGGGTGTGTGTACGCAGACCTTGCCCCTACTCGGAAGTAGGGAGGCTGTTTCCAAGAGACCCCAGGCTCCACCTGCACAAAAATATGGAAGGGAACACAGTATAGCACAGAATAAAAAATAATAAATAAAAATTGGTTAAAGAATAAAAAATAAAACTTAAATATTTAAAAACTATGTCAAAAGTTCTATAAAACAAGAGGTGACAAGAATATTTTATTTTATCAAATAATCAATGAAAATACACAAATAAACAAAAGTTATCAAAAACTTGGTGTAGAAAAATTGCAATCAATTGTGGGACGAAGGGAGTAAATTTTTTCACCTGAAGTGGAAAAATGAAAGCCAGGGATATTAGGTGAAAATTACTTAATAGTCGTGGGGTAAATAAGGGAATATTCTTTAATTCAGCATTTAACTATTTATGACAGATACATCCTGTGGTAGCACGACTGTGTGCTCCGGTCCAGGGAACCAGTCCTGCTCATTTGGCTGATTGCTTAGGTCTTGATGCATCCAAGGTAAAACTTTTTTCTATTTTCCTGAAGCCATAGGTTAAAAGGTGAGGCTCATTGTTTTAATCTTTGTTTTCTTCATATATCAAAATATGTTGTGATCCTTTTCAGTTCCAAAGCAAATTAAGCAACACCATTGATGATGATCCTTCAAGTTCACTTTTGTGTGCAGTTGATGATGTGGAAAGGTAATAGATTTATTTTCTACAGAGTATTTTTATATATTTTTTTGCAAGAGAAGAATATCATTATTAGTTATTACTGGGCAAGTGTTGACACATATTTCCTGAAATGTATACTTTCTATATGATCAAAACTTGAAGATATCGAGGGTGTGAACCACTGATCATGGTGTGCCCCGACTGCTCTACTTCCCTTGAATGTCCACCTATATTCAATTCCGTATGTTCCTCCATAAGTCAGAAGCCAACAGATTTGCAGGCAGAAAGGCCTGCCATTGAGTTTTGGCACAAGTTACAGTGTCCCAAATGTCCAAAGGAGCCTGGTGCAGGCAAACTGCAGCCTTCTTGCTTAGCAAACCAGGTAAAAGCTCTTCTTCTTCTTCTTCTCTCTATACATATACATACATACATACATCAAATGTTTTTGTCTTTGTCGAAAACGCATGACTACTAGTGTAATATGCATCATGGTGGCCTGAAAATGCAGCATTCTCATTTTGCGCAGTAAGGACCATCGACTGATGGTCTGACCTGTTGGATTCCGACTTGGTCAACATAATCAACGCATCCATAGGTTCAGATTACCATGTCTGGTTATATGTTTTATAAGCTCCAGGAACTTACATATGTAGGACTAGTCTGCTGGGAAACCCATGTTTACATGTTGGCATGTTGCCTTGACAAAACAAATAGCTTGATTGTTGTTGACGGGTATATTAGGAGCCTATAAGCTACTTCCTCTGTTTCCATTTGTTGTGTTTGTTTTTCTTCTTGATCCGTCCTAATTCATTGTGCCTATATATCTATTTATAGAGACAGGAGGTATTTTGCAGTTGGCGGTTCACATTGTCTCTTTCCTCTTCAACTCTTCATAAGTATAATCACATGATTTTCACTTCCTTAATTCCCGGGCAGAGTAAAGTTTTCACAACAAATTGGGATGGGGGAGTATAGCTTATGAGTTAATCTTTCTGTTCTCAATAATAGTGTGTGACAAACGTAGCGGATAACTTCGAAATGCAAAACAAAATGAAAGCTGATAAACGTAGCGGATAACTTCGAAATGCAAAATAAAATGAAAGCTGATAAACGTAGCGGATAACTTCGAAAGAAACTAGCTTGGTCATTAAATTTGTATCATGTTTATCAGCTATAAGATGCGAATTAACTTATAAGCCATCAACTGGAAAATAGCTTCTAAGTTTTTTTTTTCAATGATAGCCTAAAAACCTGTAAAATCATCTAAAACCTATGGAGTATAAAAAAGCATCTCAACCAAAATAATCTAAAAGCTAGCTTATTTCCGGGCATAGCCTGTTAATCTCTGATAATGTTCTGAGAAAACCATGCATGTATTTGCTGCTGGCAGGTGAAGAGGCAAGCTGAGGGGTTTATCTCAACATATTATAGAGGATTGATGCTGGTATGAATGCATTTACAACCTTAAAAAATGTATATGTGTGTGTGTGTGTATTCTTTTATGTCAAATCCTAAATCCTAATTTTGGGAACAAACATCCAGTGTGATGATGAAACATGCAACTATAGCGGTCGCAGCCTGAACCTGCGGGTAATCGGTGACTCGGAGCGAGGAACTGTTTGCCCAAACTACCCTCGGTGTGAAGGTCGCCTCCAAAGAAAGGTATTCTTGCAGCCTCCAAACCATATTTTATGTTATTTACTTCATCCCCATATTTGAGAGGTTAACTTGTGGAAAAAAATGCATTGGGCAGTATACAGAAGGAGATCTGTACAAACAGCTTTCGTATTTCTGCCACATTTTGGACACTGAGCGTTGCATTAATAAGGTGTTTGTTTCATTCATCTCTTTCTGGCTCTCATTCTGTTCATATCTTTTGGTGTGTGTGTGTATATGTGTGTGTGTGTATATATATGTATATATGTATATATATATATATATATATGTATATATGTGTATATATATATATGTATATATGTATGTATATATATGTATGTATGTATGTATGTATGTATGTATGTATGTATGTATGTTTGTCCTAACTCATTTTATCTATTTAATTTTATTATATACAGATTAAGCAAGAAATCAAGAAACATGGATCAATCATAAAATAACTATAGTTTTTCGTAGCATTCTCTATTCTTTATGATCCATGATAAGATTTTCTTTGGAAGAGTCAATTTCATAAATGATCCCTTATAACAAGTGATTTTTCATATTTAGTCCTTTGAGGTCTAAAGGATTATTACATAATTAGTCCTTTGAGGTCTAAGTTATTACATTTGTGGTCTTCAGTTTTTGAAAACTATTCAATAAATTAGTCCTTTGAGGTCTAAAGGATTATTTTAGGGAATAGTTCTCAAAAATCGAGGACTATGAATGTAATATCTTAGAATTAAGGACTAAACATGGAAATTCACATGTTGTATGGGACCATTTATGGAATTTACTCTTCTTAGGATCCGAACACGCTGCGGCTAGATTACTAATATGAACATTGATGATGGTGGGGGTGGAATTGGCAGGTGGATGCAAAGATGAAGGTGCAAGTGGAGAAGGAGATGGCGGAAATCCGGCCTCTGGTTAAGACCGCGTCTTCGACTGTAGAGAAGTTGCGGAACCGTTGCGGTTACGGATGGGTGCAACTGAGAGATCTGACGGTCGACGTTTGATCGGTCTGCTGCTCCCTAATCAACTGTGCATATGATGATGTATGTATGTGTATGTAAAACAACTTTATAGCTCATATTAAAAACCAGCTACCTGATTCAACACATAGTTAATTGATCATAGTGTTTTGCATTTTTCTTTTTCCTTTAGTCTTTATTCTTCCATTAAAGTACTTCACTTTATGGCTTTTTGATTGTAAAGCCAACGGCGAAGGACTTGATGGAAATGAAGCTAGAACACTATGATTAATCCACTCTACGGCCTACGCCTTCCTCCCCCTATAACACCTCAACCCGGATTACCATATCAAAATTATATGGATAACCTTGTCTCGGAAGTTGGAATTAACCATTTGGTTATCGAGTTTCTAATTATGAAAAATACAGCTTGTCCAGAGGGCAAACATCACAAAAGCCCAATGTTCAAAAATCTTGCAGAAGCAAAAATAGATGTCCAACGTATTACAATCATTTAGCCTAAAACATAACAATAAGGTTATTCTTTCGCTTGGAAAAATTAATTTCCAACTTCTAGTTTCTTATTTCTTCCAGTTTTTTCAACTTTTTCCAATGACTTGAAAATGTATCTACATATGATTGCTATACAATAATACTTCTTCTGTCCCAATTTATAATGTCTGTTTACTATTCATAAGGTTAAACTTTATTCACTTTTTTTTTCTATTTTCGTTAGTAATTTGATAAATAAAGTATTATTATCACTACTAGTTTTGTAGATCTTTTGATGTAGTCTTTTAATATGTAATTTTTTATTTTTTAACTCTATACCATTTGTCATATAAAATGATTTGAAAATAATTTCACTCAAACATCGTAAACTGAAACAGGCACTATAAATTGAGACGGAGAGAGTATTACATATCCAAATTTCTAACTCAATTTTTGCATAATAATGCTAGGGTGCCACCACATGAGTGATACCATGGGTGCATCCATGCTTCACACAGACAAACAGACGATAATTGGCACCCTAGCATGACCCTTTTTTGCAACATCCAATTTTAGAATTTCAATCGGAACAACAGAGCCGCCTACGTAGCTCAAAATAGGAAAAAGAATGCACATGCAATTTCATCATGTCGTCTCATTACAACACTTATTTTTAGGAGTTCCAAGATTTGGACATTTGTTACAATACAAACATTCTTGTGGTTCACGAAAAAGAACATACTCCGGTCCCTAATATGGCCTATTTCACCCATGGCCTTTTTTGTTGGTTTATTCTATAGTACAAGAAATAAGCTAAACCAAATTATCTAAACACAATAGTTTTAGGTGATTTTTTTTATACACCCACGTGACCACATCCCAATTTAAGTTGCATGGTCACTGTTCATATAATCAAATCTTAACAATTTTTTGTCCAATTTTGTCTCATTTGATACAGTAACGTAGTCATGTTACCTCTTGATCATATAACTTTTGACCTACTTTTTACATACTTCATATTCAATTTTTAATTACACAAGAATTTTCAAATAAATTGAATAAATACAATTTCAGTCAAACATCATTAACAACATATGAATATAACTTAAATCGGGACAGAAGTACACCAAAAGCAATTGCAAACACTAGAAAAAACATGCATTTTGTCATACAGAAGACCATTACAATCCAAAATCAAAACAAAAAACCGAACCACAATTAAAGCCAAACACCGCTCCCCGCTAGTTGCATTTACAGAGTAGTACAATTTATTACGTAAAAAGTACAAACCTTGAACTGCTGAATAAGAAATTATTATTAGTGTCAACAAAGTATTTCCAGGTTTTGCTGGCATTTGAACAATAATATATATATCTATATATTCAATGAAAAAAATGGTCTTGCATAAATATATAATTGCTGGCAATGAGAGTGGAGGTCTTTTTACTATGGGAAATGGTGAAAACGGAGAAGCACGAAGCATACTATGTATGTTTCTTGGCACGATTACCCGAAGGTCGAGAAGCTTCCTTCTTAGAGCCGGTGGGCCCCATAAGGCCCTTTGCCCAGGCAGGACAGCTGTCAGGTTCATATCGATAGTCATAAAGCAGTTCGTCTCCAGGGTTGATTGGTGTCGATGCATATATGCCGATCCTGTGATCTCCTCCCACCATGACAACCTATTATCAAAATGGCCACCCACTAGGCACATTATTATTATTACTGGTTTATAATGAAAAAGAAAAAGGAAGCAGACGCATCATAGAAGATGACCGTTTTAATTTAATGTCTTAAACATTGCAGATTCGGTAGTTTACCTTTGCAACACAGTTTGGTTGAAGAGAATGATTGGCGAACTTCAACTTGTTTCCCTTTCTGTAAGCGTCAACAACAAGCTGTATACAAACAAAACAATAAAGCAACTGAGCCAATAGATAAGGCGGCAAACATATATATAATCACACACACACACACACACACACACACACACACACACGTGGGTAAAAATTGTTACGGTTAAAGAAAGTTCAATTTGAGTCGTTTATTGTTTTTAATTTGGATGGTTCATGCTATATTTCAATTTTACACACATCATCGATGCATTTGATCCCCTGTGTGTGTGTGTGTGAGTGTGTGTGTGTGTGTGTGTGTTTTAGAGGCTAGTAGGTGAAAAGTACATCGTACCATGTCATTGAGATTGAAAAGGAATGAATAATTTTCACGATCATAGACTTTGCCGCGCTTATCAGCTTCGAAGTGTGAGATTACTTCACCAGTGTACTCCCCAATGAAATCATTCTTTTTTACACTATTCTGAATGTATCAAAAGACACATCTATGATTACAGCCACTAAGTTTAAAAGCAAAAGACTCCTGTAGTACTGTACCTTTAAGAAAGCTCCCCATCCAGCAATATTAGATCTTCCAAGAAGAACCTGAATATAAAAAGTGTAATTAAAGTCCCTTCGTCCCAAAATCATCTTCCCATGGGACTAGGATGACAATTGGTTTAGTGGTGTTATTAAGGGTTGTTTATTGGGGAATAATGATCATTTAATATGTCGTGGGGTAGTATTTAGGTTGGTTTGGTCGTTTAAGCAATTTTGCTTTATTTCCTTTTAAGAACAATTTTCTTTTTCCCTAAATCTCTTAACCAAACAAAGTCTATAAAAGGGTAGTTCCCTTGGGAGAGTGTTGTGCATATCTAGCCAAAAACATTTTGTAAAGGATTCACTCAAGAATGGTTTTGAAAGGCAAAATCCAGCCTCAAGGCAGTGGGACTCTATTACATGAGGTGTGTGCCTCGAGGCATAGAAATGATTAAATAAAGTAGTAATAGATAAGTACAACAAAATGCATGATTCAACCTTTACAAATAAAAATTATTAAGCCATACATAGTCATTGTTTAAAAGACTGCAAAATAAATAATCAATCGTAAGCAGGTAGAGATAAAATATGTGAAGCACTAGGTTTATTAATTGCATCTAGGTTTATATTTACTATACAAGAGTGAAGTAGAAGATAGAAAAAAAAAGAAACAAAAGAGGGTGATGGTTTTTAACTTTTTTTTAAACTCCTAGGTTTTATCAAAATAAATCTAGATTTATATTTACTAATACCATTATCCGAGTGTATTCGTTCCATTAGACTTTTCACGGTCTTATAGTTGAACACAATTGCTTTTATCTAACATAATAAATTTAAAAAGTTTATGATATAATAATTTTGTGAAACTTGTTTCCAACAAATCTAAGGAAATGATTTTTGTAATATTATGCAATGCGCTTTTAATTAAAAGATGGCCAACGTTTGTTCAACTTAAGTGAAAAAAAAGTGAAAATACATGAATACAAAGAGAAATGGGGAGCATTTAATTGGTGGAAAGATAAAAACAAAGAAAATAAAGTAATGAACATCTTGGCCCAATAGCTTTTAAAAAATCACCCATTACAGGCATAAATTCCTGATAAAATCAGAGGCTTAAACCTCCTTTAATCTTTGCGCCTCACACACCTTGATTCACTTCATCCATATGAGGCGTAAGCCTCAAATTAGCAAAATGAGACCTTCGCCTTTGAGGCCTAAATTCACCACCTTAGCCTCACTGGCTCAAACCCCTTTGAAAATCATGCACTAAGTTTATTCGTGGTGTATAGCTTTAGTAAAGTCTTTACAAATTGGGAGCATGTATCAACAATTACCTTTTGATGCTGTCTAAGAAGTAACTTCATGTTCATGCATTGATGATTTGAGACTCTCTGCGGATGAAATCCAATAGAACCATCACCGCAACTACAAAGCAAATTGAACCAGCATAAATAGTTTGAAGCAGCAGTCTGAAGATAAGTCCCCAATACCAGAGTTCACACTTTTGGGATACATTACTTTAGTTAGGGGTGTGAAGGAAGCCTCCCTTAAGTATTAACATTGGAGACTATTTCCCATTAAAAAATATCATGATTTGAAAAGATAAGTAAACAGATATCAAAATCCATTAGAGGTGTTTGGTGGCATTATGTTCAGATAAAGTAATATGATATTATGATGTAGGGATTCCATTGTTCTTGGTCATGTTCCAAGATTTGTATGTTTATTTTGCAGCATCAGTAATTCAGTCTTGTGATAGGACATGACTATAACAATTATTTCAAACCATCATTTTTAAAAAATATACTCCATAAATCATGCAGGTAGAAAGACTCGTTGTGATGATGATAGCTCATTTTATCTCATTATTCCTTCGTAAGGTTGCAATTAGAAGGGCATAAAATATTTTCGCTACATATTTTAGACAATCAATTGATACTAAATTTCATGTGACAACCCTCCTCATAGTCGAGATCAAAGTGTTTCTTTAAAACTGTTTTCTTGTAATTATTAAAAACATTACTTTGGCAGGAAACATTTTAAATTAAATGTGCATACTCAACACAAAGTTAAAATGAAAATGAAGAGCATATGTTAAATGACCCACTTTGTCACGTTAGGAAGACCTTTCTTTTAGTGACTTTCACATTCCAATTCACGCAAAACAATAATTATCACCAAGAAAGCTCACCCGACCGAGCAATTATGGCATATATCAGGATCACATTCTCTTGTAGCTGCATAGCACGGACAATCATCTGTTGCGCACTGACTCTTTGAGCAGTGACACCCTCGGAATCGTATCGGGCAACTTTTTGAACATCTAGATAACAAAATAAAAAAAAGGTTTTCAGAGCAATCAGTTTATGATGTCACAAAAGATGATGGATACACTTGAAAAGGAACACAAACATAAAAAGATTTACAAAAGAAAACAAACGTAAAGGAAAAAATAGAAAATATAAAATGTGTTGTTTTTTTGTCAAACAAATGTATCTGTTTGGAACCCAAAAAATGCTAAATGCATGTAAAATTTGTATTTAAAAAAACACATTTGATTTTGCTTCATGTTTTCCAAAGTTAAGCAAGAAAAGCATTGTTTTCATTTCCCTAGGACTCCCAGCATTCCAAATCATAGACTAAAGGAATTGATCAGACTCAGATTCCAACAAGTGATCAGCTCCAAAAAGAAGTCGCCTACCCACAGAATTTTTCACAGCTGCCTGATTTCATAGTGCAAGGGCAATTTTTTCCACAGTGAGATTTACAATTGCAAGGAGTATAGTGTTTTTCAAGTTCCTCCTTCTTCACAGCTATCCGCTTCCTAATTGAATGGTGCCCACCTGATTTACGTGTATATCTGAAGTGACGAACTCTACCACTTCGACGAGCATATCTTGATCTTTTATGTCCTCCATTACCCTATTACAGTTCAAATTAAATTTAACAAGATAATATGTGGAAATCCAACTCAGCAGAAGCAGTGGAGTGTAAAGTGTAAAAAACTGACCATGACTTCAACACCGACACCTGCTTGAGCATGCATCTTATTCTCAGGCAGGTTCATATACTGAAAAACCTCTCTGCATGACCTCAGACCATTCATGAGGTTACGAGCAATCAAACAACTGTTCAAAAAATAAGATAGCTCTAGTAAAGGAATAACAGTCAAGAAAATGATGAGTGTATTCATCCAGAGCTCACTAACCTGCTTCTACCAAAAATCTCAAGACCTTTTTCAAACAGAGTCCTTTCAAGCGGTCTCCAATCTTTATTGGTATTCCCTTCTATTGGAAAAATGTGTTCGCCTAAAAATGCATCTTCATTGGCAGTTTCATAATCACTAGTCATATGTTTATAATTTACAGCTTCAATCATATTTAATCCAGTAACAATATCCAGCAAAGAATTGTTGGTCTCTGGAACTGAAGGTTCTTTCCTACTAGATGAAATGTCATCATGATTATTTTTGTGTGAAGGGAGACACAAACTCTTTGAGCTTGTACTTCCAAAAGAGTAAGATCTTGAAGCTGTCCTTTTGTTTTGCCTCTTATCTTTACCCAAGTCCTTTTCAATGTTCTCATTCAGCAGGACTCCACTAGATTCTTCAGGTGATGAGATAGAGTTTTCTTCATGAATAACTATTTGTTGAGATGCCAAATTGGGGTTGCTTTGTTCATTCATAACCTGAAGTTATGCATAAGAAAAGGTGATAACCATTTGTGCAAAGGTAGGAATTGTCCATGTCAAGCAGAACAAAATAAAATGATAAGTCATGGTAGAAAGAACAGAATATTACTGTAAGATAACAATTAAGCCCACAAGGTTGCTTATTTTCATCCGCAGAAAACCAAGGGGCTTGTTTTCTAGCCTGTTAAAATTAATAAAAAGAAAATTAATCAGTATCTTACAACTTTCAGAGGACTGTCATTTTTGTTGATAACATAAAAAAATTTAAAAGATTGAAACTACGGGTGTGTTTGGTTAAGTGGGAAATTAATTTTTCAAATAATCATTTTTAGTTGTTAAGATTTCAAGATTGAAATTTAAAAATATGTTTTAAAAATAACTTGAAACTATTTTAGTAGCATGGGGGTGGGGATGTTGGCATAGGGTAGGGG